GAAAATAGTCTTTATGGATGGAGCATGACACATTTGCACATTTGATAGAAGTTAAACAAAACTGACAGTTTGCTTGTTGTGAGAGTTCTTTTTGTTTTCATGCTCAAGTGAATGCCCTCTGATTCATTTATTGAAAAAAAATAAATACAATAAGTAGAAATAAAAGGCTAAACTGAGAAGCCAGGGAGAGCAGGTGGGGTAAAGGTTGTGCAGAAGAGAGCTTGTGAGTCCTATACAGAGAAGTACCCCAAAAGTTGGGGGGCTTCTCTGTCCTGTTTCAGCCTGGAGGTGTTCACTCTCATGCAGAGGAAGACCTGAAGGACATCTCACAGATCCTGGTGCCAGAGGACATGGCATGGGTTTGACATGGTTACTGAGCAGCCCGGCTGTGGGTTTTTGCCCTGTACAGGGGGATGCAATCTACCTGGTGCTGCAGGTGGTAAAGGCTCAATCCTGAACAGATTAGTTGTGATACATGACAGCAAGGCATGGGAAGCAAGGGTTTACTAAGATATTAGTGGGGCCACCAGCCCTTCGGTATGTTTGTGCAGAGCCTGTTTCCATCATCATGGGAAGAGTTTTATGGCACTGCTCTGGGGTAGGCTGGGAGAAGGAGAAATTATAACATTGCAGCCACTCCCTCACTGCATAGGATTATGGCCGCTGTTCTGCATTGCTCATAATGCAGGTATGTACAAAAGCTTCACAAAATTCACAAAACAAAGAAAGGATTTCCTTAAGCCAGTGCTAACACTGGTGTCATTCCTTAATGGCAGGTATGTAGCTTTGCAGGATACCTAAGTACTTTGAGTACTTAAAGACTCCTCATCATCATGCAATTTATGGTCATCAGGTGCTTGTTCTTTAACACATTGTGAGCAGGGTTTTCCTTCACCCATCTCTCTTTCTCTCCTTATCCAGTTTCCAGAGGTGGGTGTGCAGAGCAATGAGTTTAAATGATGCTGGGGATAGGATTCTGCAGCTGTGGCATTTTCATTGTTACATGCCATGTTCAATGTATGCTACATCAGAGTGGCTGTGCTTACATTTATGCAATACTTCTCACCCCTGTGGGAAACTCAGAATGCTTTGGCAGCTTCACTGTCTCACTACATAATACAAACTAGCACTTCAGCTTACCCCTGAAATGCTGCTATCTCAGGGCTCAAATCAGGGAAAGAGAGGGGTGCTCCTTTATTTAAAAAATAAAAAAATAAAAAAATAATTCATCTCAGACCAAGCTCAGGAGGCAGAGCTTAGAACAGAAATTGGAAGAGCAGAAAGAGAGACAACTATCCAGGCACAGATGTGTAAAAATAAGCAACTAGCTGTGAAGTTAGGGCTCTGAAGAAGGGGATTAATTTCCAGAGTCCCTTTACTCAGTCACTTTTACCTGCTGTGGATTTTAAGCATCTACTTATGACACTCCAACCCCAGCAACCAACCCCTAACTCAGGAAAGCTAATCCATTATTTTTACTGACATATTTGTTATATGTGCTTATGCATTTATAATAATTTTTAAAAATTATAGAAAGGAGTTGTATCATCATTATTTGATGGGGATTACTGAAATAGAATGACTGCACTGGTTTTCCTGTCATTATTAAAAATATGATTTTCTTTTTTGGGAAATATCTGACTCATTTTGGATGAAGGTAAATATTTTCCTACCTGCTTAAAGTTGCCTGAGTCTGAGCAATGTTTTCTTTCCCATGTCTCTCTCTCTCTCTTACCTATTATAATTAAGTTCCCTTTGATTTGAACAGATTGGACAATAGGAATTCATAATGTTACATCCTGCACACTGAAGCTAACTGATTAAGTGCTCTAAATTATTCTTCCTGACAGAATGATAAAGTTACAATCTGTTCAGAGATGATCTACAGCTTGCCAGACTCCTACTGCTTCTTTCTACATTCATTTATCTTTTTGTCAAGCAGTTAAAAAAAAAAAAAAAAAAAAAAAAAAAAAAAAAAAAAAA